CAACTCCGGGACATAGAGGTGGTCCAAGTGTAAGTAGGTGGTGTTTGTAAAGTGCTTTGAAGATGAAAAGCTTTATTTAAGGGCTGCTGGTGGTTGGTAGAGGTATCGTGATAGCTGAACTAGGAAGAAAAGGAGAAGAGAATTATCTCATTGAAGTTACACATGAAATCGTATGAGCAGAATATAATTTACATGGCTTGGAATTGGCCTGGTTTGAAAAGCTCACTTCCCCTGTGGTGGGTGGATAAACTCATGGCGTGGTAGTTGTTTGGCAAGCAGGTGCTGTGTGATCGAGGGTCCCAACTGGCCGGGGCCTTGGTGCCAGGAAGCTAGCCCACACTAGCTCTTCTCCTTTCGTACCTACTTCCTCTCCAGCACCCTGGGTCTAGCCGATCTGACACAGACAGAGGCCAGCCTCTTCCTTCACCTGTGACCCTGAACCGACTGCAGAGAACAATGGTGTTTCATTTTCCTCAGGATTTTGTAAGAGATGGGTGTGGCTCGTTACTGTTGACAGTCCCTGCCCCATCTGTGCCACACTAGCTGATCCAAGGAGAGCCATTAACCAGAGTGGGGGGCTGGTAATTAGGAACTGCAGCCCAGCTGTTGATTATATAACACGTCCTAGTTTAGTAATGTCATTCAGAGCTAAAGAAATAGAATCAGACTGACACCTCAATTTGTGAAGAGAGCAGGCAACCTTTATGTATCTGCTTAGTTTGTGAAACTTAAATTTTCACCATCCCCCTTCCCAAAAAGTAAATAGTAGATTAGTGACTAGTAGATTGAACTTCATGTTAGGAGTGAAGATGGCTAGATTCTTGTCCTAGCTTTTGTCACTAGCTCCAGGTCCTACCCAACATGACTTAGACCAAGCCACTTGTGTGTGCTTCAATGTTCTCATTTGTAAATCAGAAATAATCCCTATACTTCTACTGCCTAGAGTGGGGAAAGGAAGGAAATCAGTGAGTATATATGTGAAAGCATTTTTGAAAATATTAAGCACACTCCATGCAACGAGCATCTGATTAGGTACCAACCCTATACCAGGCCCTGTTTTGGTTACTAAGGATACAACGACAAAAATGAAATTACCCCTGCCTTCAAGATGTTCATATTTTGATAGGGGAAAAACAAAGTATACACAGATTTTATATTTACATACATATACACACATATGTGTATGTCTATGCATACATTTGCATACATGTGTGGGTATGTGTACACGTGTATACATACAAGACAATATTAGAGGGAAAGGATTACTAACAACTAGAAATAAGGATGAAGAAAAGACTGTTGTGTAGAAGGTAATACCTAAGCTAATCCTTGAAGGAAGCCAAGGATTCTAAGAACTGGAAATGAAGAAGGGATTGCATGCCTGGAATAGGGCCCAGCCTGTGCACACGCACAGAGATGAGAGATGGAATGTTGCTTGTTAATAGCAAATAGGCCTGTCTGTCTGGAGTGTAGAATACTAATGTAACTCCAGTTTCCGTGGTCTCTCCCACAGAGATTGTAGCTAAAATCATCGTATCTTTAAGCAGTAGAATGTTGGACAGCCATAGTTTAACTGTCATTCTTTGAGAAATCTGTGAGAAGAAAAGGAGTTTTAACTGTCAATCTAGAGAAACTATTAACTTCGACATTTGAAGACAGGGCAAAGGAAAAGGAATAAGAAAACTTATTTGCTGAGAGATAAAATTTTAATCTTTGTCTTACAAAGAAACATGAAAAAAAAATTTTCAGAAAAGACTATATGTTACCCTGAGGGAAATGAATGGTGGGACTGTGCCTCTAGAATTGAGAAGTCCACCAATTTAGTAACAGGTAAAGGTGACTCTGACTGAATCCTTTCTCACAGTTGATAATGTAGACATGTATCTCTATCTTTGTTTTATTGTTGATTACACTGCTAAGAAATAGCCTACCCAGAAATGTTGATGTTTGTTTAAGTCTGGGGTTTATATGAAAAGAGAGGTGAGTAAAGTGTATGGAAAGAGTTTTCTCTAGTTTATCAAATAAATAATATTTAGTAACCAGGGATAGAGGACTCAGAGCTAATGGATGAGAAATGTTCGGTTTTAGCAATTAATAAAGAAATATAAAGACATATTCCTTGGTTGCCCTAGAACCTTAGGATGAGAATAAATAAGGAAAATGAACCAGTGGCATATAGTGGTTATCACCCTACTACCCTACACCCCTGTTACATGAATACCAAACAATGTTAGGCAGTATTATTGTAAATGGCCATTTCAGAGTCATTTAGCATTTTTTGGATAATTACTCGTGTCCCCAACCTAGAGAAACAAATGCTGTTCTAGCTCTAATTTTAGAGAAATGAGCTCCAGAATTATTACTTTTCTTCTGCCCTTTGGCTATATGATAGGAACAGCTTACTTAGCCAGCTCACAGTGAAAGATGAGGGCTGTAAATTTGTAGGTGTTTTGTGATTTCCCCACTAAACAGGATAAATACCATCATAGAAATATGTATCCTGTTTAATCTCTGGGCACCTTCTGAAGATATCTGTTAATTGAGAAAAGGTAGGATTTGTTCACTGGGGTTTCTTTAGTCCTTCCTATAATCTAAAGTATTCACTGGGCCACAGTAAAAATCCAAATGGAGAATTTGAATTGTCTTCTCACTCGGTATGCAAAATGTGTGTTTTTAGCTTGAAGTAACTTAAATGTAGAAGTGGCATTTGGCACTTGGATGAAAGGCCACTCTTAGTTTAGCTTCAATGGAATCTTCCAAGAAAGGGGGAGGGGGAAGGACAGGGTAGAGAGGAGAGAGAGACAGAGGCAAAGAGAAAGACAGAGGGAAGCAGACCAGTGATACACAGAGACAGAGAGAGAAAGAAAGAGGGAGAGACAGAGATCTGAGAGAAACAAATCATCCATTTCTCCTCCCACCCCTAGCAAGTTTTCATTTCATGACCTCTTGGGTTCCCCTGAACTACTAAAAACCAAAGTAAACAAACAGAACACCTTACTAAGCTAAACATCCCGGCCTTATCTGCGCAGGTTCTGTAGCTGTGGGTGCAACATTTAAAGTTGTCTCTTATGTTTCTGTACTCTCTGAAGATTGTAGTAAATAAATTCCTGCACTTAGGCGTGAGTTTTTCTAAAGAGGAGGTTACCTCAGTCGTGGTTGTTTCTCAGAATAGCCTCTTCAGTTGAACCCAGGGAGAGTGAACACTTCTCAGAATGAATAATGTTTGCATCACACAATACAACTTCCTTTTTTCTCCACCCTTTCCCCCTCTTCCAATCATGGACATTTTGAGAGGCTGGTCAGTGCCGCCCCCATGTCTGCAACTTCAATGTTGGCGTTTACAGGGACTTTTCCAACTTTACCTAGAAAAGAACTAACCAGAACCCCAGCCCCTGTGGTTAGCCCGTTTCCGCCTGTGGCTTTGGTCCGTTTGTCTGCTCTGACAGAGGAAGCTCTCACTGTGACGGGAAGAGGGAGTTGACTGCACAGGCTGGATCATGATGCCTCAGCTTGTAGGAGGACCAGGGCAGACAGTACATAATGCCATTGGTATGTGAGATGCCAGCAGTGAGGGGAGGGGGAAGGAGGAAGGCAGAGACCCAGAGTGGCAGCTAAAGCTGGCAGCCGCTGAGTGCATCTGCAAGCCTCACACAGCCCAAATGATGAACTCAACTCTGAAATCAAATCCCCTCTAATTAAAATGATTTTCACACAAAAAGTTGAGTTGAAGCTGAGCCACAGAGACATGGCATTTGACCTGGAATAGACATTAAAAGCAGATTTCTTGCAAATTGATAGAGCTTTGGGATCTCTAACTGGCTGGAGATCTGTGTGTGAACGGCCTAGCTGACAGAGTAATGCAGCAGTTGTTTGCCTGGGAAGTCTGCGATAAAGTTTTGTTGGACAGGCTGGCCTAAACAGAAATGTAGACACCATACTCTTTGGGCTGGGGATCAAAACAAAAAAAAATCTTCTACCTCTCCCTAGGTAGAGAGAAATGATTTCAAAGAGATTGCCATCCATGGAAGATTCAGTCCTCCAGCACGAGAGTGCAAATTCACTGTGTAAATCAAAAAATCAATCTGGCTGTAATTACTAGAGTAAGGCCTGATCACTCGGTGCTCTTCACAAGCTTCATTAGACAGCCACCAGTGACACATAGTAAATGAGAGGGCACATAGCATCCAGGCTCTCAGACCATGGGGTCGCAACTGCCCATAGCAAAACAAGCTGGACATTATGTTCATGGCATGTTTTATAGACCTTGCCTTACTCATGGACACTCTGGGTATTTTTTTAAGATTAAGAGCTAGAACCGGTGGTAAGAGTGGTGGGGAGTAGTACAGGGGCAAGAGAGGAGAGGAATATTTATAGTGATCAGGAAAGGGAAATGTTTAGCACAAAGGATGTGAGGACTATAAAAGACTTCCCAGTTCTCTTTTCTGAACTGCACTTTTGGTGAGTGGCATCGATATCAATGCCATCCAAACCACCACCACATTACCAAGGAACCTGTCTTACAACAGAACGCCCTGGGCTAGATGTGGTTTGTTTTACAGTTAACCAAAGACAAGAAAACTTTTCTGCCATCTATGGGAAAGTGGAGTTGTTGCCTATGGAGGCACAAAGGGGCTATTAAATCCCTTCTGTCTGTGGCCATTTAACCAGCTGTCCTGAGAACGAGAGATGTTAACCTTTCCTTGTGCATTAAGGTGTGTGCCGACCTAAATCTTGCTGGGTTTATTCCTTTATTTGGAACCTTTCAGTAGTATCCTTTCATTTTTATACTCTATTAAGTGGAAATTTGTATAGCTGATAAAGACCAAGTTCATTAGGCAAACTAACAGAATGAAAGACTACATGGAAACTGTGGTAACCAGTGTAAAAGACAAACGTTTTTTCAAGCAATTTAGCTTCAAACTGTTTGCATCCCAACACTTAATAAGGTAATTACAGATGAGCTAGATCAGTCTAGTCATCCTTCATTTCTCCGTTTCCCCAATTCAGTTTTAAAAAAAGCCCGGCCACTTACTACTTTCTAATGACTTATGCATTCATTCCTTCCTTTCCATTCCCTATAACACCACAACTGATTTAAGTCTTTCATTTGAGTTACTGTAGTAAGCTTTACACGTATAAGATGGGGGAGGTACGTGGCAAAGATCAGGGCATTTTGGTGGACAAAAATTCAGTATGAGTCAACAGTGTAATATGGCAACCAAAAAACTGTCATGATCCATTAATGCAGGCATAGTGTCCAGAACAAGGAAGGTGATGGGCCCAATAGAGACTGCCGTGTTCAGTTCTGGACACCAAACTTTAGGAAGAATATTAACCAACTGAGATATGCAGAGGAAAGTGAAAAGGATGGTGAAGGGCCTTGAGATCATCCTGCATAAGGGGACATTTATCCCAAATGATGAAAGGCTTAGAGGGGGAACATGATAGTCATCTTCAGGATCTGAGGGACTGTCACGCTGAAGAAGGAAGAAGCTTGTTTTGCTTGACTTTACAGATCAGAATTGAAAACAATGGGTAGATGCTGCTGAGATGCAGGTTTTAATTTGCTCTCAGGACATTTTTTGTAATAATTACAGTGGTTCAAAAGTAGAATGCTCTGCCTCAGGAGCTGTAGTAGGTTTCTTATCACTGAAGGCTCTGCAAGCAAAGACTGGATAACCATCGGGTAGAGGGGATTCATGGAGCATGTAACCTCAGAGGTCTCTTCTGTGAGTCTGTGTCTGGTCCAGTCCGTCGTCGTTTTCCTTGAAATCCAGATCCATACACAAAGACCTGGATCACACACCCTTCAGTGGCTCCCTCTTGGCCAGAGGGTAAAATTCAAATTCCTGACAAATGTTGACATGCAGTCAAATTGATGTACTTATTGTTCCTTAAATGTGCCATGCCCTTCTCTGCCTACACACTTTTTACTCAAGCTATTCCCGATGCCTAGATTGCACTTCCTCCTCCCTCCAGTTCTCTCCACCCACCTCACCTTAGTCTTCGGATTCTTGTCCTTCCCTTAAGATCCACTTCCACCATAAAGCCTTCTTCGTCTTTCTCATCCTATGTATCATTCTCTGTTCTCAATAATTTTAGCACTTACTGTCCATACCACTCACGAGATACTTGGTTCATCCTACTTTATGGTGCTTTTGTTTTTCTATATTGAGATGACTTGTCTCTCCAGCTAGATTACCAGACCTTCAAGGACACGTCTTGGGTTGCTTTTTATTAGAATAACCTCCTTACCGGTTTTCCTACCTTCCTACCTTACACCCTCTCAAATCCATCCTTTGCATGGTTCCCCAAATCATCTTCCTAAGTCACTGGCCTGACCATATCATTCCCTTGCTCAAAAACCTTGATGGTTTGAATTCAATTTCTTAGCCTGGCCTTTCAGGCTTTCCATAATCTGACTTTAGCCTAATTTTATCCTATTCTCCATTTCAGCTAAACTGGACTAATAAACTCTTCCCTGATCTTATCCTGCATTCTCTCGATTTGGGGCATTTCTACAAACCCATCCCTCCTTCCCCCAGTCTCTAGAATGCACTCTCTTCTCATAGAAACTCATCTCTTCCACACCCAGCTCAGACATCCAATTCCTTCATGCTTTCAGAAAACCTTCCTTGATGTATTCCTCCCTTACCCCCCCCTTACACACACACACACACATACACACACACACTCTTACTTGAGAGTAACTGCTCCCTCAAATTTTCTTAGAGTACTTTGTTCAGTGAAGATTTCCAAAGTCTCCTGCCTCTAGATGGAGGCCCTTGTGTAGGTCTGCTTCTTCCCATCTCACGGTTAGGGGTATTTTCCAAGAGAATTAGGTTAAGAGAGTCTAGACTACAAAAACAAAGAGAAAAACAGTTCTTCCTCTCAAGGATCTTCTAACAGAGAAGTCAGCAAGTACATACATGTTGTTACATACGTGTTGTTTAGTCATTTTTCAGTTGTAACCAATTCTCAGTAACCCCATTTGGGGATTTCTTGACAAAGATACTGGCGTGGTTTGCCACTTCCTTCTCCAGCTCATTTTACAAATGAGGAAACTGAGGCAAACAGAGTGAAGTGACTTGCCCAAGGTCACACAGCTAGTAAGTGTCTGTGGTCAGATTTGAACTCGGGAAGATGAGTCTTCCTGACTCCAGGTCTGGCAGTCTACCCATTGTAGCGTCATCTAGTTGCCCCAAGTACACATATAAGGATACATGAAATAAATTTAAAGATAATTAATACAAATCAATAATAAATAATATAACCAGTACAGAGCAGTTAAGTACAAGGGAAGGAAAGAGGGCATAAGCAGTTTCAGGAGATTGGGAAAAGCTTCATCCAGGAGTTGATGCTTGAACTGCATCTGAAAGGAAGAAAGGGCTTCTTCTATGAAGTAAAGATGAGGAGGGAGTGTATTCCAAGGATGAGGAAAGGTCAGTACATGGGAGAGGGCCCCCGGCAGCGATGAAAGGTCATGGGGGAGGGACAGAGAGGTCAGTTTGCCTGGATCACAGAGTAGAGTCAGGATCGGGGTATGGAGGCTGTGGGGAGGGAGGGAATGGCCAATGGGGCCAAAAAGACAACTTGGGGCCAAGTTGTGAAGGGCATTCAACTAAACCAAAGTTTCTATTTGATCCTAGAAGCAAGAGGAAGTGACTGAAGGGAGTGATATGGTCAGATCTATGCTTCTTAAGGAAAATTACCTTGATGGCAGTGTGTAGGATGGATTGGCAAGGAAGAGACTTGAGGCAAGGAAACTAATTAGGAGGCTATTACCATAGCTTGGGTGAGAGGTGGGAGGGCCTGCACTAAGGGCTTGACTCTGCCAAGTGGAGAAGAAAGCAGATGTGATGGATGTTGTGGAGGTAGAAATGGCAAAATGAGGGGCAGTGGGATGCTGGGAAGTGGTTAAACACCAGTTCTCCGAGAGGGAATATGCAAGACACACTTATAAATTTAACCTGTGTTATTAACATTTTCTCCACATTCTTAAATCTGGACAATCAACAAAGCAATAAATGAAGCCCTGGTTTGTGGTAAGCCGATTTTTGAGGTTGAAATGCTTACCATGAAAATTTAACATTCAGCTGGGGTGTGAGCTGGCTGTCTAACCATCAGCTCCCTCCCTCCCCTCCAGAGTAGGATGAGGGAGAGTAAGGCTAATGACATGATTAAGGACCTGGGACTGAGAGAGAGAAAGAGTGATGTTACCTTCAAAAGAAATGGGGAGGCTGGAGAAGAGGTGGGTTTGGGGAGAAAGAGGTATCAGTCCAAGTTCTGAACCCCAAAGACTTAATCCAGGGCCATTTTTTCCCTCCTTGAATGTGCTACTTTCCTGAATGTCTCCTCTCCACATAAGGCAGTCAGTATGTATTAATTGATAATGGTTGTTCGTCTAACAGTAGAATTACTGTTTATTTTTAAGTCCTCAAACTGCATTTCTTTAAAAATATTCTGTAATCTGTGCATTGAGTTGACCTCCTCTCAGTGTTCCTTGAATACTTGTATCACTTCCCATCTCTTTCTTTAAGTCTAAGCCTTTACCATTTGGAGGTTTCTGTCTGTTATTTGATTAAACTTTTAAAGTGCCTTTCTTCTCAATATGAAAATATTAAATTGTTTTAGATTAAGGTCAAAAGGAATATTGATTTCAGAGGAGCTGTGGCCAAGTGACTGCAGTTGGAAGACCTGGGTTTTGAATACTGACTGTGCCATTTGCTTGCTGTGACCTCAGACAAGTCATTTAATCTCTCTCAGTCTCAGTTTCTTCGTCTCTCAGATGGGGATAACACTACTTGCCCTGCCAACCTTAGAGGACTGGAGTGAAGAAAGCACTGTGTAAGGTGGGGAGTGGCCATCATCACTTATAACCCCCAAGCATCACATAAAGATCAGCCACCCTAAACTTTGCTCGCTTATGACTGAGAACACTTAGAGGTCCTGGATACTTAAGAGAAGAATGATTCCCGTTTTTCAGAGTGAGACGATGAGACCATAATCCTACAGATTTCCTCAGTGGGCAGATGAGAATCCAAGCAAAGTAGATTTCACCCAAGGGAATCATAGCATCATAGTTCTAGAGGTAGAAGTGATGTCAGACTCCAGCCGGTCCAAGCCCCTCATTTCACTGGTGTGGAAATGAAGGCCCAGGTGACTAGATTACTTTGCCAATGTCACACAGGTGGGCATCAAAGAGGCAGGATTTGAACTAAGGTCCTCTAAGATCAAAGTCAATATTCTCCCCCTGCGCCGTGCTCCCTCCCCTGTACTATGCTTCCTTCAACACCGTTCTGAGTGTTTAATTTTCAGACCGCTGAATTCCACTGACTGGAGAAATTGCCAGTCAATAACAGCTGTGAATAGAAAAGAGTGATTGCCAAGGGTTTAAAGGAGGTGGTATGATTGAGAGTGAGGATTAAGACTTTAGGGAAGAAGCCAAATGAGAGAGACAGACAGACAGAGAGAGATATGCAATGGAAAGTGTTTGGCCTTGGACAAATTTTTCTGAGGTAGGGTTTATATACTCAAGACCCTTAGTAGTGATAGGTTATATGTCGGCTTTGAAAACTGTGTATGTATTTTATATGTAGATGCTTCCACAATCCACCCATAGTCCTCAATTTGGGGCATTTTGTTGCAGAAAATCCAGGTAGCAAATGAAGCAAGACCATTTCTTTAACACTTATGCTCTGTCTACCTTTGGAAAACCAACAGATTATTCTGAAATATTGTTCTGTTGAATTCTTAGTGGCTGGTAGTGAATTGATGTTGCATTTGACAAAGATGAAGATGGGATAACAGTTTAGCTCCTTGCAAGAAGGATGTTTGTCTCAGGGGTTTGTCTCAGGGTGACATATGTAAATCAAGACAGTTGTAGTTTCCACATACGTTTTTGTTTTTTTAATCATGACCTTTACTGCAAATGTTCCAGGGTAGGCCTGAGTCACCATTACTATCCAAGCACTAGTAAAACTAAGGATCAGGTTTGACTCTGTACAACAAATTGCTCTGGATGTTATTTGTTCCTGTCCCCTGAACTAAGCACATCCTCAGAGGCAGGTGCTAATGAGTATCTCAGCAACGTGAGCTCTCACTTGAATAGCTTTCAAATTTTTTGCAGTTTCTGTAGTAGCCGCCTGCTTTAATTCAAGACATGGAATATATATAATTGCCTCGGCTGGTTTACGGTACCAGCTGAAGACGTATCACATCCATGTGCTTGCATATGTCCTTGGGAAGAAAACAGCAATGGCAACAGTGAAGAGTTCCTGGTTTCTTTAGAAGAGCACACTGGGATTCAGAAAAGCCCTTCTGGATGTAGAGACTGTTAGAATTCATCCCCTAGAAGTCAAGATGGTCAGGGGGAGATGGAAGATTAAATGAACCTCAGATGCCTTGGTTTTTTACCTCATTTCTCCAACTGATTAAATCCAGTCCAAATGTTTACTTCTGACCCCTTGGACAGAGCTCATTTATTGAAACTTTGCCTACTGTCTGGCAGAAGAGCAACAGGAAAGGGGCACTTGGGGACTCAAGTATGAAGATCTGTCTCTTTTTATTCACCAGTAATCAAGAACAGGCCACAGAACTCATGGTCTGTAGCGACGGGTGGGGTGAGGAAGAGGAAGGAAGTGGATGAAATCATTGTTGTCTTTTTGTCCCCTCACCTCTAGTCCTACCAGCTATTGGGTACTTTGTGAAGAAATGGAATGGATCAAAAGGGTGGATGGGAGGGAAGCTCTGGTGGAATTTACAAAGCTTACCTTGAGAGTGACTCCTTGATATACTCAGTTTTATTTCCTTTGTTATATTGTATTTTACAGCTTCATAAGATGGAAGAATTGGGGGAAAGGGAATGGAAGATGTTTAAAACAACAACAACAGCAAACAAAGTTCCCCTCTTCTACTAAGATGACGTTACTTTTAGCCACGTCCAGCTCTTTGTGACCCCATTTGGGGTTTTCTTGGCAAAGATAACTAGAGTGTTTTGCCATTTCCTTTTCCAGCTCATTTTACAGATGAGGAGATTGAGGTACACACAGTTAAGTAATATGTCCAGGGTCACACAGCTAGTAAGTGTCTGAGGTCGCATTTGATGCTCCATCTCCTGCTCCACCCAGCTGCCCTACTAAAATGCAACAAGGGATAATGGAAAGAAACTCTGGCCTGGGAATCATGAGACCTGGGTTTGAATTCCAGCTCTGACATTACCTACCAGTAAGACCTTTCCAAGCTCAGTTTCCTCATCTGAAAAACAGGAATGATAACTACCACCAGCTTCATAAGATTGTTTTTTTAAAAAATTTATAATTCTTAAAAGTATTTTATAAACAAGAACAACCTCCTTTCTCTCCATAACACAAGCTCACTCATCTTAAGTGTGATCAATGCTTGTGACCTTAGAATCTCATTACTTCTAAGGTTTCTATCTGCTATGTATCGGTAATTAGGACTATTTAAAACAAATATACAATGAACATGAACCTAAGATCATAGATTTAGAGATGAAAGGCTTCTTAGACGCCACCTCCTCTATCTAAACTTGTCATTTAACTGATGAGGAAATGAAAGCCAAGGGAGGTTAAAGGAAGTGCCACTAACAGGATTTGAACCGAGGTCCTCCAACCCAAAGTCTAGTGTTCTGCTGTTCACAGGGATAAAGCAAATACTGTTTTGCTCTATTTGATTACTGCTCTTTCTTATGTCGCCCTCTAAAAATGTTTTCTTTCTCTTCCTTCCTAATGTAAATTCCAGGAAAGAAATCTGGACTGGTTCCCCAGGATGCGAGCCATGTCACTGGTCAGTAGTGATTCTGAAGGAGAGCAAAATGAGCTGAGGAACCTGCAGGAGAAACTGGAGTCCACCATGAAGCTCGTTACCAACCTCTCCGGTCAGCTGTCAGAACTAAAGGATCAGGTAAAGAGAGGACATCCCTTCATCTTCCCAGTGCCCCCTCCACCCCCCAAAATCTCATGAGAAGGACGCAGTAGTCTAAGATGGATAAATTCAGATATTTAAAAATCTTCAGCAATTTCACAGGATTGGAACAAGAGACTAGGCTACAGAGGCCAAGCTAACTAACCACATGGCTTGTCAGCCTCCCCCACTGTGGATAGCAGTGGTCACAGCCACTGCCCAGGGTCAGGGTTAGCACGCCACACAAAAGTGAGGAATATAAATGTAAAAATGACAACTCCTGTGGCTCAAGGATGCAGTACCAGAGATGGGAAGAATAGAACCTACCTCCACAGTGTAGACCTGTCTACACAAAACACATGTATCCAGTGACAAACCAACATCACCTTTTCAAACCCAGCCCTGTCTTGGCCTCTGAATGCAAAGATGATGCTCCTTTGGCACTAGTGGGCATGGGTTTGCACAGGTCCATTCACACTCTTGCTTGATCCCCTCTGATGCTGACAGCATGCGGTTTAACAAACCAATCTGCTGACAAAGAATGGGGCTGTGGTGCAGTGGTGTGGGAGGGGATAGAGTGACAAAGCGATCGGAGACCTGGGATGACAAAGCTTGTGACTTTAGCACCTCACTCCAACAGCCTGAGACATTTGTCTCAGCATGTCTCAGATGTACAACTAAAATCACTTTAATCCACTTCCCAGCAAGATTACCCATTTTGCATAAGAAATGCTTCTGGGTGCAGGTACCATGCAAGATGGAACCACAGTGATTTACTACATACATTAATTTATATATACACATATATATATACCCATATATGCATATGTACACACATATACACACACACACAACTAAAGTGTCCCCAAGATCCTTTTTGTACATAGTTCACAAAATATTATTAACCCTACTCTGAATTTCTTTATTTCCCAATGAAAATTAAGCCAAGTCCTGGCTCCAAACAGTATGAGGCCTAATATACTAACATGAAAATAGAGTCTAATGAGAAGGGAGAAATCCTTATTTATGAAATCTGTCCTAAGCTCAGAACTTGATAGCCACCTAAAATGAGTAATGACTAAACAAGGAAAACTACTGAAGATTTAACTAGATTACTTTCCTTATTATTTTATCACCTTTTGCTCCCGTTGTGTGACATGTGACAAATGGTCCACAAACTTCAGCCGATTCACGAAGGTAGGTGTGTTGCAGCTGCTTCTCTCCTGCCCTATGAAGAGAGAAGCAAACTTTGTATAATATCCACTGACGATGCTGTTACCTTGCCCCTTTTGAGTGATCTGTTGCTAGAGAAAGCTCAGTTCAGTTAGAAGGTTTTTGAAAAGGTATTAAAAATTCTCTGGGCAACCTTGTTTCACTTCAGACCTGCCAAGTGTAAGAAATCTTCATCCCTTGTTGAGGCCTAATACTATTTTCAAAACATGAACACCCTGGCCACCCAGACTTTTGTTTATGCCTACAGTTCCAGAAAGGCAGCATCTCTACTATTCTAGCAATCAGTGGTCAGTCTGACCAAAAACCATGATGCCCATTCATTGTAATTTCTCAGTAGCACAACTGGAGGCCCTCTGGAGCATGCGTCTGCCAATCCAAGCACATTTTCCATTCAGTGGAGAGTTCATTGAAATTTCCGTCTGGACCACATTGTCCTTAGGTGCTTAGCTCACGTTGTAGTTGTCAGTGGGTCACGGCATATTATCGAGCAAAACCTTTTCTATAGAATTTACATGTTACAATTGGACAGCCTGTACCAATTAGATTTTACTCTTTGGAGAAGTTAGCTTGATAGAGGTGTGTATATTGCTTGTCTTCAATATACTAGCTCTCCCTTTGTTGTATTCTCTGTTACTGCTTTGTGAAATTGAAGAATAAGAAAGTAATGTTCAGTTGAGGAAAGAGGCTGGAAGATGTATTATTACCTTTTGTTTATTAGTAAATTTTATCATTAGTAACTTGGTATTATTGGTAAATTTTAATCCAAGTTAACATTTCCTTACTAAAACTAAAGCTTTAGCTTCAGTACAACAAATATATCCCTGCTCTGAACAAGGCAAAAGTTATGATCATAGACAGGCTTTTATTTTCATTAAATGACTAAGTCCTTTGCTCTGGCTGAGTTTTAGCCTTTTTCATAAAATATTTGCTTTATGGTAACTGTACCCAGGATCCAAAAAATACTCTTGCTGGGAATGAGGGAAAAAAGTAAACTATCTGTTCTTAGAAACCTAATCTCCAAAGGTAGGGGAGAAGCCGGGTTTATTCATGGGACTACTTTTACAAGATCCCTTGCACACATACTTCAATTTTGATAACTCTCCTTAAGTGGCAAGATAGTTCACTTATGTGGTAAATACAGCATATCTCCTCTTCTTACGGAATTAGATTTTCTTCTAAGTTGATGTTAGCACAAAGATGCTTTTGAGTATGCAACTGACAAACCTTTTTTCTGTACTTGGTTTGAAAATCAAAACTTGTTGCATGAGTCTTACGTATTTACATTATCAGATTTAAGGAATCAATTTGAAAGATCCTGTGAACTCTACTTTCCTAAAAAAATTACACTTAAATCTGGGGATTTAGCAAAATCCACATTTTCTGAACTATTAATTGTTGAGAATTCTTACAGTTATATCACTCTAAGAGAAAAAAAAAGCTTTGATTTTTTTTTTTAATTCCTGGAAAATAGTGAGTAGGAAACATTTGTAATAGTCATTAAAGCCACAAACTTTGAAAGGCTGTCATTTCAGGGCTATAGTGGACAACTGGGCTCCATCATCTTTTAGATGTATGGTGATCCCCAAACTACTATCAAGGGGCAACAAATCATTTTAAATTTGTGTGATTTTGGTGTTGGTCTTTACACAATATTTTGACACTTTTCAAAGTTCCAATTTTAAAACAAATGGTCCAGGGCGTTAGTTAAAACCTGCTGTTTTTAGTTTTTTTCTAAGAACTTAAAAAAGGTCATTTGAGTTTCTATTCTAAATGGTGTTTAAAGGAACTACTATGATAATGTGTATTTTTGATGCCAATGCCTTTATCCTAGGTTTGCTCCCTTGTTTCATGTAGAATCATAACCCCCATTTGTTTCAGTGCCTGTACTCGGCATTCTGGCAGGGCTTAAAAACCTAGACTGCACTAAAGGCTTTGAGTGTTTGAGAAATTCTTTCTTACAGAAGTTAATATTGGTTGATAAGCATTGCAAAAACAGTAGATTATCTAGCAGGGACCCAGAATGGTTACTGAATGGACATTCTTGTTCACTGAATATTTGCATAAACAAAGAGTTAGCAGATTTACTTTCTACCTATCCTCAAAGAATTCAAATATATCAAACTATAATCTTTTATTCAGAAGGCACTTCAGAACTTTGCAATACTTCAAGGTCATTATAGGAATTATTGTACAAGACTATAAAAATAATTCTGATTAGTTGAGTTTTCAGATTTTGTTTTGTCTTCTCAATAAAGCAAGAATTTCCTACACCAGGAAAGCCTCCTTAGAAAGTCAGTTTATAGCATCCCATTATGGGCAGATTGTGGCATCTCAGCAGGGTTGCTGCCCCTTCCTTCCTGTGCACCCCCCAGCCCCCCTATAAATTATTTAGTGCTTGATATCAGAAAACTGGAATTTACTCTTTGTTTCCAATCGTATGGATTTTTATGAAGATATTTTCAGGCACTTTGCTGTCTCTGATTTTAAAAGCCACAATGTACTTTGCTGTCCAGTTGTTACTTCTTGTCTAGATCAATAATGTCAGAACACACTGAATGATGAAAGTAGAGCTTGTTTCGGGATTGAGAGAGATAGAAAAAACATCACTTCAAAATGTTCATCCAGCCTAGAAGGCAGAAAAATAAGTTTTAGGACATAAAAATCATTTAGACAGAAATTGTATAAAATAGTGGACAGAGTATAAAGCTTGGAGTCAGGATAACCTGGGTTCAAGGCCCTAATTAACCATGTAACCCTGGACAAGTCATTAAACTCCATGTGACCAATTGCCCAGGACTCATCTATTCTGGCATAGGAGGGGTGCTAGCTTTGATCTGCATTGGTGGAGGGAGTTTCTACACTGCCACAATCACAAGGGTATATTTAAAAAGAATACACTTGCAGCCTGTAAGTGGAATTATCTTATTCCTGTAAGTAAAATATCTTTTTATGGAGCTGAGAATATAATGCTGCCATTAAAAGACTGGAATGTCCTTCAGTCTTTTTTTTCCCCCAGTGGGAAATGGCTTTTTATTGACATCCATTCTTTTACTTTTTTTTTTCACTTTTTTACCTTCTGACTGAACAATCCATTTCATGTATTTTTGTAATACTAAAGGCTTAACACCAGCCTTATTTTTTATAAACAAAGGTCAGTAATAGTTCAGATATCCAGAGCCCAGAGAAGAAATAACCTTGGAGGGGGAGAGTAAGCTTTGATCCTGGTTTTGATAATTATGCTGTGGAACATGCTCATGGTTATTGGATTATGTGTGAGGCATGAAATTAGGCTAACAGATGGGGAAAATAATTTGAGCACATAGACTAGAATCTTGCAGATCTGTTTCTGGCTGCTGACGACTCCTATATATCATATACTGTCACATACAAATTTTGACCCTTAGCTCTTCCCGACCTAGGCTCTCCTCTCTATGAATCATATTGGTTTGTTTTTATTGCTGCTTCCCTCTCCCCCCCACCTCAAGTTTCCTTCTAGTTGAAATAATTGTTTGATGATGATTGGCCAGGAGGGCTGAGCATTAAGCCCTTTAGGCAATTGCCTTAATTCTCTTCATTTATGGAAGCCACTTAAATACCAATTTTGAATTACAACCTACAGGATGTCTACAAACCACAGTCATTCAGAACCTTGAAAAATCAACTATATGTTTGTTGTTGTTGTTGTTTTTTAAGGGAAGGTCCCATAAGCTGGATATTAAAACATTCACTAATTTGACAAATTTTGAGTACTTACTCTGTGCTTAGGTCTAGGGGTCACAAAAGAAATAAGAGGCATGGCCTTTGCTGTCTAAAGTAGCTTACAAACTCAGTGGAAAGACAAGAACTGTATATCCCACCATGACTAGCTCCACAAAATGCATCAGAAAAAGAACAAATTGAGTTGTAGGATAAAACTTCTAAAAGAGGCCTCAGTCCTCCAAAAACAAGATAGAGTACCCCGACCACTAAAAGGCCTCTGCTCCCTTCGAGGTGTGTCCACTTGGAATAGTTATTCTTTTAATGAGGTGCTAAACTCAGTTTTATTTTTCTTCTTGCTGAAAGCACTCTCGAAATTTTGGTATCCTAGGGCAATGTCCTGGTTGCCCTATCCTAGTTACAACTCTACATACACATCTAAAACATTTTAATAGTGATTTATGACACATAATCCATACTCCAACACAAAATATGAATTCATACATAATATCTTCCCTATCTTAAGCAGTCCAAAGCAAGTAGGAGCAATATTACCAATTAGGCCTCATTAGCTCTTGATTTTATATTCTGTAATTTTAATTCTGTAATGATTTCTGCTTTGTACTTTGTAGTCCAATTTAATAAATTCATCACTTTTTTTCATGGTCTACAACAGACCTAGAACAAACTGAGTGACTGAGAGGATGGAGGCAGCTTCAACAGAAAGAGATAAGTTTGGAGGCAGGAAAATCAGTTCTATTATGGACATGCTGGTTTTGAGATTTCAAGGGCACATCCAAGTGGAGATACTCAGCAGAGAACTGAAGAAGTTGGACAGTTCAGGAGAGAAAGTAAGGCTAGATATTTTAATACTTTAATAAATTTGGTAGTCATTGGTACAGCGATCATAACTCAACCCAAGGATGAGTGAGATCACCATGGGAGAGTATAGCAAACAGAAGAGGCAGTCAGTCAATACGCATTTACTACAAAGACAGAGCCTTGGGAGACACTCATATTTTGAAAGACAATGAAGCAGAAGAACCCAGAAGAAGGTGTCATGGAAGTCAAGAGAAGAAAAATGAGCAGGAGAATGATCCATTTACATCAAAAGCTTCAGAGAGGTCAAGGAAAATGAAGACAGAATAAAGGGCACAATTTTTACAAAGTTGTTTTTTATTTTAACCGTTTGCAGTCTAAGAAAGTAGTTTCAGTCAAGTGGAGGAGTCAGAAGCTAGATTACAAGGGCTGAAAAGTGAGTGGGTGGTAAGGTATTGGAGGCGATGAGTATTGACTACT